GCTGGAAAGTAACAGCAAAGAAAGGCAGATGATCCCAACAAGGCCAGATGATCACAAGGCTGTCGGCTTCCAAGGCAGACGTAACGACTAGCCTATGTCCCTCGTTTCTGAGTCACTACGGAGATGCCGTGATGATGGCAGGGCCCTTTTATGGGCCAGGTTTCCCTGGCGGGCAGAAGATGCTCGCTTGCTTCTTATTCCTCCATGTCACCGTCAGTTTTAGAGGATTTGCAAATTCGCTTGCTTGTTATGCTTCAAGGTCACAGTCAGTTTTACAGGATTTGCAAATTACATCAACAGGCAGGCTAGGACTGCTCCGCTTTTTTCTAGATAGGAAAGTATAAGGGATAGGAGCATTCATGGATCAGTGGACAAACCGCAGTACAGTGGTGCCTCGCTTGACGAGGATAATCCGTTCCAGCAAAATCGCTGTTAAGCGATATCCTCGTCAAGTGAAATAAAAAATCCCATTGAAATGCATTGAAAACCTGTTCAGTGTGTTCCAATGGGCTGAATAACTCACCGTCCAGCAAAGATCCTCCATAAGGCAGCCATTTTCTGCTCCCTGTCTTGCGAAAAAGCCTTCCTAAACACAGCGGGGAGCCATTTTGTACACCCGGTGGCCATTTTGAAATCCAACGATCAGCTGTTTTTGATCGTTGTAATGCAAAGAATCGGTTCCTGAAGCAGGGAACTGATCATCGCAAAGCGAAAAAACCCAATTGTAAAAGCGATCGAAAAAACTTCATCGTGAAGCAGATTTATCGTCAAGCGGAGTAAGCGTTAAGCGGGGCACCACGTTACTGAAGTCAAGACTCTGTACTGGAGTTCGAGAGTCCTCTAGCACTGTCGGGTGGTATAAATTTCATCAGAACAATCCAGTCAATCATCCAGTACAACAAGATGCCTCACAGCAAGCTAAGCCAAGAAGTCATTTAGCTGCCAGATTTAGTACATGGCAGCTTCCTTCATCGGCTGTGCACATTCACTTGTTCATTCATAAAATTTACCCTACCTTTGTACTGCCTTGAGCAAGAGATTGGACTCAATGGCCTTAGAGGCTCCTTCAAACTCAACGATTCTACAATTCGATAAAGTCTGGGTTGCTGCTCTTTCATAGAAGAATTAAACATACATACCCAGACGTTTCTGTAAGTGTGATTTTCCCGGGTGTTCTTAGGTTGTGTGCCACAAAGCCCAGTTAGTCTAGGACCCACTCCCAGCAAGGAGGAAACCAACAGACCCGTTGGGGGGGGGGAGGGAGAGAAACACTTACTGTCTAAATGGTTGCGGGAGAAATACTTTAGGCCTTCATCCAGCAAGATCACGGGCAAGGAGATTTTCAGCACCATCACCCACTGAGGCCAGCTAAGCGGCGTCACCTGGAAAATCAGCTGCAATGCAAGGACAGAAGACGCATCACTCTTTATTCTTGATGTTTGAGAAGTGCCAACCATTAGGTAGCTAGAAAGCCCCCGTTCCAGCCCAAGAGGGAGGTGGTGATCTGGATGGAGAGCACGCCAAATTTTGTAGAAGTACGCACAACCAAGCTGTCTGGACCACTCAGTGGTTTAGGTCTCTGGCTCAGGAACCAGAGGTTGAGAGTTCGAATTCTCACGGTGCCTCCTGGGAGAAGAGCCAGCCTGGGTGGCCTTGGGCCAGCTGCACAGTCCCGGGGCTCCCCCTAGAGGAAGGGAAGGGTAATCCACATCGGAATCCTCTCTACCCAGAGAACTCTGAAAAGGTTCCCCCACAAGTCCGAATTGACTTGATAGCCCATGAGTATTATTATTAAACCCCTTTTAGTCTTTCTGAGGACTTCTCTACCCGGAAGACTCTGGAAAAAAAGATCGGCACAACTCAGAACTGATTACGTGGCACATGCCGATTATTGTTACACACAAACGCACACCCAAAGAAAATGCCTAACGGGTGGGTGGAAACAGCAAAACAGCATGGCGGGACTCAGTGCCTCTTGAAGAATAAAACCAATCAAATCCTAAACATGTAAAATCTTGACCAACCTAACTGGAAATTCACTTTTGGTTTACTGGGGGGGGGGGGAAACAACAACAGATTATCTCCGACCCATGCATCCACCCATAAAAGCAGACTTACTGCTTACTTACTTTAGAGGAGACCTTTTCAAAGTGTCCCCCTTGTTTTCCCTTTTTTGGATGGATCCCCCCCCCACAACTAGCGGTGTGGGTTGGTTCCAGGAAGGCTCCAGAACTGTCAAAGATTGTTGGGGGGCACATGGGACATGTGGTTTAGCAACCCACGCCTGGTCTACGTGAATAAATAGTCAGATCTAAAAGAGGCAATGTCTTCTTTCCGCACTGAAAGGTCGTACGCTGAAAAGAGGTCCTAGCACCCCGCCTAGCCCGAAGAGCAAAGAAGATAGGAAGATCAGTGAACAGATATGAGCAGACTCGTAGTTTTTAAGACTACAACACCCAGAATTCCACAGGCAGCAGCATGTGGAATTCTGGGAGTTGCAGTCCAAAGCCAAGTCCGGGCACTCCTCAAGGTGGCCATCTTCCCTCTCAATGCCTTAAGGCAGTGGTCCCCAACCTTGGGCCTCCAGATGTTCCTGGACTACAACTCCCAGAGGCCTTCACCACCACCACCTCTGCTGGCCAGGATTTCTGGGAGTTGAAGTCCAAGAACATCTGGAGGCCCAAGATTAGGGACTACTGCCTTAAGGCACAGGATATCCGCTACTTACGGGCAATGGCTTCACGTAGAGAATCAGGAAGTGAAGGGCCATGGACATGATGATGGCCCCCAGCAGCCAGATGTTCAACCAGGGAGGCATCCGGAGCAGAGACTGGTTTTCAGACACGCTGCAGAAGAAACCAAAATCAGCATTTCACGCCCAGGACTTGCTAAAGTTCCTTTTTTTTTGGACTGCTATTCCCCAGATACTATCGATAGTCGAAGTCGGAAAAGTAACTTCCTCCCCTATTCCTGCGTGTGCTTCAGCCCCACCTCTGTGGATCAGTCTAGTGCTGAAGGCCCTCGCTCTCGAGAGCTCATCGCACCTAAAACGACCCCCAATTTTGGCATCAGGGAACACATGAAATCCACAGTTCAGTCTATCTAGGAGAGCAACCATCACAAACGCTTAACAACAATTAAAAATGATGGATAAAGGAGGTCCTGCAGCAGAATAAGTACGTTAGAATCCCCGTATCCGCAGGGGGGTGAGTTCCAAGCCCCCTCCCCACAGATGCTGAAAAATGCAGATTGTAGCAAATGCTATTTTAATAGCCAACACTATATATATATAGTGTGGTCTCTCATGGCCAGTTTTGGTAGCGACATAATGGAATATATATTTCTCTAGCCAACACTATAAATAGCATGGTCTCTGGCTCCCTCCATTGGCCAGTTCTGGCTCCTTCATCATTAAAAATATATATTTTTGGAATTTTTCTTTTAATATTTTCTACTTGCAGTGACATTTGGTTTCTCTGTCACATATATTATCCTATCGCAAACCTATTTCTAATTCTATACGCAGATCTTTTAAACTAAACAGTCGGAAAGGAAGAGGGAAAGTTAAACCTCCATGGTGATCTCCATACCTGTTCAGTGCATTGCACATCTCGATGGTTACGAGTACCGAGAGCGCCATGGTGGTTGGATAACGAGATTCGAAAATTTCACAGTCGATGCCTTCAAAGATGGGATTGTCCTCTGTACATCTCATGAAGTTCCTCTGCAGGTAAGATAATGCAACACAACAGTAGTGTTGGAGGCTGTTCCAAAATAAGGCCACCCTCATACCCATGAGCTCTACAAAAGCTATTTCCTCCTAATTATTATTCTATTCCTTTAATAACATTGGCTGAAATCCTCTTGCATAACATATGCCTGCAGAAGGGTGATAAAATCATGGGCATTGAAAGATTTTTGGTAATTAAAAACTTCTTACTTCTGTCCCATGGCTTTTCCGGCTCTCACATTGCATGGAAGGTGTGGGAACCATGGGACAGAAGGAGGAAATCTTTAATTAGCAACAATTGCCCCCTACTGTTAATGCCATGTAGTGGTGGTGATTTTCGTTAACTGCAGACTTCTTCTTTCTGTCCCGCACTTCCCACAGCATAGAAAGCAGAAGACACTGGTGACTCAAGGGATGAATCCACTCCACGTTACAATCAAAACTTTAAAGGTGCTAGCCAAGGTGCTGAATGTGGGGGGGGGATTCAATGCCTTAGAAAACTCCTGCAAAAACCAAAAACCTTGGAGTGGCATTCTAACTAAACATTAAGAAGCCAGTCTCAACAGTCATAGCTGTTCAACAGTGTAATAGATTACTTGAGAATGTAATGGATTCTCTCTCATAGGAAATCTTTAAACAAAGATTTGATAACTATCTGTAAATTCTGCTGTAGCTGTGGATTCCTGCATCTGCAGAGGTGGGACAAGATGACCCTGGGTCCCTTCACAGGTCTACAATTCTATGGCCAAAATCCTGTTGTGTACATTACACCTGTGTAAGTGTGATGATGTCATCAGCAGAGGAAGATTTTTGGTAATTAAAGAATCCTTCCTTCTGTTCCAGAGCTTCTATGGCTCGCATACAATGAGACTGATTCCACGCAAGTTGGGAAAGCCATGGCGCAGAAGTAGGAAGTCTTTAGTTACAAAAAATATCCACCTATCAGTGATGTCATCGCCATTATGCGAGTCTAATTTAATGCAACAAGATTCTGGACGGTGATTCCAAGCAATGCTTTGGAGTGAAGGTAACCTACCATTTCTTTTAAAAAACACACTGCTGTGGGGTTTCAAAACAAGATGGGTGGCTTTTTTTTTTAACCAGGAGATGGTATCCCATTTTTTGCAAAGATGTTTTGGGATACTCCACAAGTCCCAAAAAGGCACCGAAAGCTGTCTTTGGCCTGTGACATTTAAACCCTATTCTTGCAACTGTCGCCACATACGGGATCAGTTCCCATAGGAAAGCATCAGATCTAAATATAATTTCACCATCAAGCTAACTAACTAGCATTTCTAAACATTAGCTCTTACAGAAAGAGAGGGGGGGGGTTAAAAGAAAAGGAATAAATTAAAATAAAGAATCAACTTTATTGTGTCCGATCCAAACTATCAACTTACCAGCTGGTAGAATGTAACTTGAGGTCCTTCAGCGTCATACAAAAACCACCATGATGACCTAAGGTTAAAAAAAGAGCAGGAAAGGTTTTTTTTCCTGTTCTTATCTTGGATTTCTGTTCTCAAGTAGAAGCAAAATGGAGCTGTTCTTAAGTTGGATTGTTCTTAAGTAGAGACGTTCTTAAGTAGAGACCCCACTGTATAACTTGATGCAACAAGATTCTGGACTGTGATTCCAAGCAGTGCTTTGGGGTGAAGTTAACCTACCATTTGTTTTTAAAAAAACTCACAGCTGTGGAGTTTCATTTAGATGAAACAAGACGGGTGGTTTTTTCCCCCCAGGAGATGGTATCCCATTTTTTGCAAATATGTTTTGGGAGACTCCACAAGCCCCAAAATGGCACTGAAAGCTGCCTTTGGCCTGTGACATTCAAACCCTATTCTTGCAACTGTCGCCACATACGGGATTAGTTCCCATAGGAAAGCATCAGATCTAAATATAAATTTCACTGTCAAGCTAACTAGCATTTCTAAACATTAGCTCTTACAGAAACAGAGGGGGTAAAAGAAAAGGAATAAATTAAAATAAAGAATCAACTTTATTGTGTCCGATCCAAACTATCAACTTACCAGCTGGTAGAATGTAACTTGAGGTCCTTCAGCGTCATACAAAAACCACCATGTAGCTGCACCTACAGTTGCAAAGCCGACATACACTGCAGGGGAGGAGGAAAAGGGAAAAAATGGAATTGAGATTAGAACACGCAACCCAGTAGTCCTCATTAGCACATCCCTAGCAATGAATCCACTCTGCATTTTAGTCTGAACTTTACAGGATTCTGAACCTACGGGTGCCAGTTTCAGCTTCTGGACTGTGATTCATGGAATTCTTGGCACTGAAGTCCAAAAATCAGACTAATGATCGGCAGAAGGAAGCTTTCCACGTTCCTCTGTTCTTTTACGGGATACGGCCCCAAGCTACTTTCTTGGAATTCTTACCTCCAATAGCAAGGTATCGGAAGAAGAGCCAGCCGCTTATCAGGGGCTCTTTGGGATTTCGCGGGAGCTTGTCCATGATGTCAAGATCTGGGGGATTGAATCCGAGAGCTGTCGCCGGCAGTCCGTCTGTCACCAGATTCACCCAAAGCAGCTGGACTGGGATCAAAGCTTCTGGAAGGCCCAAGATGGCTGTCAAGAAGATACTGGAAATGGAAGAGGCAGAAACTTTGGTCAAAGGCGAGGTTTGATCACCAGCCTGTTTGCATCTTGATGGCAGCAGAGACAAGATTGCCCAGGATTTCAACAGATGGAGACGGCACCGAACAGGTGATATACAGAATGTTATGACTTCTCCACTCTCTTTCCCCCTCTGAGCTATCTGTTGCAAGCAGCCACTTTGTTTGTTAGTTTGCTGTTCATCTGTTCAAAACTGTAAGTAATGAAATGTTTTAAAATCTTCCCCCTTAAAAAATGTATCTGAATGAGTCTCTGAGACCTTAAGTGCCAGCGGATGAGAAAGGGGTGGACTATCTGGATGACTTGTAGCTATTCTCCTCTGCGAGTCTCTGTCCTTCTACCGTGTGGCGAAAGGAACTTGACCAGAAATTCTAAACTCTGCAACATGATCAACGACTAAGAAGCTACATTTGTTCTTCTGTTTCTATATTTTGCATGCATTCTTTTCCATTGCTGGTCCCAGTGACGAGAAAAATTAACTTTGGACTAGAACTCCCATCAGCCATATGCCATTAAGATTTTTTAAAAACTCTAAATCGCAGAATTCTCCATTCTGCGAGTTCCAGTTGCCAGACCCAGACCTCAGTTGTGCTCACCTGGGCTGAGAGGCTTCATGGCCTAGAAGAGGCTGAGGTCTGGCCTAGCTTCCTGTTAGAAAAGGAAGTTGCCTTCAGTGCTTGCTGAGAATTCTGGGATTTAGAGGAAAGAACGGTAGGGCATATTCCTAATCCTCATATTGTCACAGCCTGTGGTCTCCTCAAGCCATGGTTTATAAATTGCTCTCCAGCTGTCATTGGACTTCTGTTCCCATCAATGCCACCCTACAAGCCAAGGATGATAGGAGCCGTAGTTCAACATCACGGCGAAGGCTGGCAGGTCTATCCTCTCAAATTCTTCTGTTCCGTTCCAACTGGGGCACATAGGTCAGCAACCTCCAGACCTTCAGGCTGTGTATGGCCATCCTTGGGCCATGGGAGAGCTGAACCCACTCCCATCACCTCCTCTACCCTGCTACAGAAAAGTAGCACTAATCCTGCCCCCCCCGGAAAAAGCTCTTTGATCCTCTCAAGTGGCCAGAAAATGTTTAATTTGTTCTTAATGGGCCAAGCGGCCTTTTCACATCATCCCCAAGGTTGCAAAAGGTTGACTCTTTGAGCCAACTTTTCCCAAAACGTTTAAAAAGTGGAGATGTTGTGGGTGCGTTTGGACCACCAGAGAGAGAGAGAGACAGGCGGTAGACCACCTGGGGCCCTCAAGGAGGGGGGTCTGAGCGCTCTCACCAAACCACCTCTCCGACGTTGGAAGAGATCAGGTAGCGGATGAACTGTTTCATATTGTTGTAGATGGCCCGGCCCTCCTCTACGGCAGCCACAATGGTGGAGAAGTTGTCGTCCGACAAGACCATTTCGGCAGCTGACTTGGCCACGGCTGTGCCAGAGCCCATGGCAATACCAATTTCGGCTTTCTTCAACGCTGGGGCGTCGTTGACCCCATCGCCGGTCTGGAAGGAAGCAAAATATTCCACTAAATTAGTAGGCAGGATCTCTGTTTTCAAACTTGCTGAGCCCAGCATCCCGCCGGTTGAAATTGTGGGGGTTCTACTTGAAAGACAGACACCTTACAGACACTTAATATAGTTGACCTGGGGAAAAGGCCTAAATTAGAAGGCTTTCAGGTTGAGCTCGGCCTAGCTTCCTGTTCAAAAACGTCTAGTGCTGGAGCAGGAACAGGAAGTTTGGGTGGAACTAGGCCTAGTTAGGCCTCAAAGCTTTTCAGTTTAGGCCTTTCTCCCAGGTGAGCTACAATTCAATGTCCATAAGGTGTCCGTCAAGTAGACCTCCCAAAATGGAGAATTATGTGATTTGTAGTCTATAAAACCCAAAAAAATTTCAATTCCTAATACAGTGGTGCCTCGCTTAACGAGCGCACCGTATAACGACGAAATCGCATAGCGATGTGGTTTCCGTGATCGCTAATGCGATCGCTTACCAATGGCTCCAGTGGGCAAAACTCGCATAGCGAAGGTCGGTAAGGGTTTCACTTACCGACCTTCGCTTTGCGACCCGCGGATCAGCTGTTCGGCGGGTCCAAAATGGCCGCGGATCAGCTGTTCGGCGGGTCAAAAATGGCCGCCGGAACAGCGTCGCACGCCGCGTTTTCGCGCCCTCGGTAAGCGAGGGGAGGGCGCGAAAATGGCTGCCAGCTATGGGAAGACTTCGCTAAACTGTGAGTTTTCAGCTGATTTGGAACGCATTAAACGATGGCTTTTTACTTTTTACTTTCCGTTTAACGAAGTTTTCACATAGCGAAGGTTAATCCGGAACGGATTAACCTTCGCTATGCGAGGCACCACTGTATCTACACGATTGTACTGTTTCCCAAGGCTTAAATCCAATTGGGGAAGGAGTTTTGAGGTTCCTATCTAAGAACGGAAGAACTCAGAAGCCTAAGTTCCTGCTCACCATAGCCGTGATCTCATTGAACGACTGCAGGTATTCAACGATCTTGGACTTATGGGCAGGCTCCACTCGAGCGAAGCAGCGGGCTGAGCGGCAGGCATCGCTTTGGGCCTCTGGCGAGAGCTCGTCAAATTCCCGGCCCGTGTAGGCCTTGCTTGTGACGTCTTGGCTTTCTGAAAAGATGCCAATCCTCCGGCAGATCGCCACTGCCGTCCCCTTGTTGTCTCCGGTGATCATGATGACGCGGATGCCGGCTTTCTTGCACATGTCGATGGAGCACATCACTTCCTTCCGGGGAGGGTCTAACATCCCAACGCAGCCGACAAAGGTGAGGTTAGTCTGGGAGGAAGACGGGGAGAGGGGGAAAAAATCAATCTGTTGGAGAATGGGGCCACCTTCTGTGTGTGTCGGTGCCCACTGGGAGAGGCAGAGGAAAGAGAAGCAGGGTAGAGGAAGTCAACACCACTGTCAAGGTTTCCCCAGCTACCACAAGAGATCTCGTCTCTAGGAGGACGACGAGATGCCAAGCAATTTTCGGGCTTGTTTTGTTGACTGTGGTTCAGCGAAGTGACTTTTCCTTTTGAGAAGCTGAGCGAACACACGTAGAACAGATGGAAAAGCTGACGGATCACAAGGCACAAGCAACCCATTCAATGCTAGCATTTCTACTTGAAAAACAACAAACGCGGGGAAAGGAGGAAGATCAAATACAAGATGGATCAACTCCCTAAAGGAAGTCGCAGACTTGAGTTTACAAGGGTTGAGAAGGACATTGTGACGATCGCTCATTCACAGGGCTGCCCAAAGTTGGAACGGACTTGACGGCACATAACAGCAACATACATGGCAATGGTGAATACAAAAGTAACAACATAGTCCCTTTCTGCCACATACATTTCATCTGCCATCAAGTCAGGCTCTTTCTTGGCCCTTCGGAAGCCAAGCTTACCTCATAGTTAATGAACTGGGTGGAGTCGTCCAAACGCATGTCTTCTTTCCGGGGCGGGTGGTCCCTGGTGGCCAACGCCAGGCAGCGCAGTGTATCGATTCCGGTGCCCCACTCCCGGATTTTGGAAAGGATCTTCTCCTTGGTGGACAGAGTCAGGGGGACTCGGGTGCTGCCAACACGAATGTAGTTGCAGCGCTCTATGACGCTTTCTGGCGCACCCTACAAAAAACCCCCACAAAAATGGAATCCAGGTTTGAGAACTAGCCCATGAACATACAAAATAATAAAGCAGACACACTGGTAAGGGTTTAGGGGACCATTAAAGTGGCCGTCCTAGTACTTTGGTCACCTTGTAGTGTTCCTTGTTGTAGTTTTAAAAGAGGCGGCTGTGTTAGCCTGTGGTTGCGCGTTGGAATAAAGAAAAAAAAAAAAAAAAAAGACCAAAGTAAAGACAAAAATAAAAATAAAGAAGACAAAAGGAAGCTCCTTAAAGACCAATGAGTCTTTTATTGCAAGCTTTTGCGGACAAGTCCACTTCCTCAGACATAACAGTGGGACTGCATGGCAAATATTGATAGATTTATACATGGTCCCGAAACAAAGATGCTGTTTGCTTCCTGGACACAAGTCGTTGATAATGTGGCATTTCACACCTGGCAATGACTTTTAATATTCAGTTCCCCTTCCAGAAAACATTGTTCTGGAAACAATGATTGGTGGTGAAATGAATCCGAAATGAGTGTCTTTAATCACTAATAGGGCTTGTAAGGTGCTGCTAGTTAGTTTGGAAGAAACTACAGCTGGGAAATATAGTTGATCCAACACAAATATTGCAAGTGTTTTACATTTAACACTTGGCCTAAGACACCTTGGCTAATACTGAGTCCATCAGGATGGGTTTTAAACCTATGTATTTATCTGAGCTGTCTCCTGGATTCTTAGCCTGTAATTTTTTTCCTCCAGAATGAGAACTTTCAGATCTTGCGCAGAGTGTCCCGGTAAATTAAAATGATTTGAAACAGGTTTCTCTGTGTTGCCATTCCTGATGTCTTATTTGTGTCTTTTGATTCTTCCACACAGAGACTTTTTTGTCCAATGCACCATGTATCTAGATACTGACTTGGATGGGTGGGTGCAACCATCCTACTGCTGATTCTCTTATTCCAGATGAGATTCCTTGTAGCATCTTGACACTGGGGAACCAAATCAATGGGCTTGGATTGAGGATGCAGCCATCCTAGTACTGTGTTGCCTTCCCACCAGTACATCTAAAACAGTGCTGGATTTCCTTCCTAAGGCAGGGCTCCTTATAGCATCCTGACACTGGGCCACCAATTAATGGGCTGGAGCTTGCAACAATCCTAGCGCTACGTTGCTTTTCCCAGCTTGGGTTCCTTACTTCTTAACACAACACCCAGCACTTTTACAGGATGACAGGCTTCACTGAAACATCTTTTGCAAACAGGCCAGGCTAGAAAAGAGTATCTGGGTCACGTGACAGGGCACAGTATGTGAACCTTAATTACATCTCTACAGAATCAAACCCTAAGAAGAATCCAGAGTATAAGACACGGACATCGCCTGTGTTAATGACAGAAATTATTTTTGGACACTGCAGATGAGTCCCGAATAGACTTGATTGGCACAATATGTAATGATGGCCATCAGCTTAGATGGCTTCCAAAGGTGATTTGGCAAGAGGATAAGTTCAACAGATAACTACCGGTACATATTATGATGATCACTATCTGATGAGGACGTTGCAAAGAAAATTGGGGAAACAGCACCATCTAGAGGAAATGCAGTGTATCAAATCTCAGCACTTTATTTTCTGAGATACTTAGTGCAATGGTTCCTAATGTTCTTGGACTACACTTCCCAGAAGCCTCCACCACTAGCTGTGTTAGCATAGATTTCTGGGAGTTGTAGTCCAAAAAAACATCCAGGGATCCAAGGTTGAAAAGCAATGCTTTAGGGGTTTATAGCGATACATATAACTTGCCTTTTTCGAAAAGAACACAATTTGGAAAAGTTACTCTTTTGGATTATAGCTTTGTTTAAATAGTTGCAGTCCAAGAATACCTGGACTGGGAACGGCTGCTCTATCTGGAAAACCCTGGAGAGGAGTTGCCATAAGCCATAAGCGACTCAACGACTATTACTGCTGATAGCCATGTAAGACCGAAATCAGATCTGTTGGAAATGCAGCAGTTTCAATAAACCAAGATTTCAATTGCGAGTGTTTCCTCCAGCATCAATTCAACGCTTTAAAAACCACCAGATTAAAAGCTAGCCCAGGGGAACACACAAAGTGATTCAAATACGACGTGGCCACCACGTGACTTTAAATTGGTTGCATATTCCGAGGAATTTTGTTAATGTAACCTGGTCCTATGACCAGTTCATACATTGCACAGGAAAAAAACAAGGACAGGGTTTGGATACGACACAGCAGCACGACGAGGACAGGCTATTACCTTGACAAAAAGCTTGCTGCTGGAGGAATTGTGGCCGGAAGCCACAGGGGTGCAGTAAACCGACATGGACTTGCGGTCACGAGAGAATTCCAGGGTGCATTCCTTTTTCATCAGCTGTTTGATCACCTGGAGAGGGAAAACAGGTCGAAATGGCACAAAATCAGTGCAGAAAAGGAAAAGAGAGAGAATCAAGGATGAAGCAAGCTCTGCTACTCCGTCTGCCTGGATCGAGTTAGACATGACAAGAGAGATATGGCTTGCTCTCCAAAATAAGGTTCATGCATCTTTAACTCTGAACGTCCTTCTGCTCTTCCATTGCAGACCTACGGAGAGGGCCTTCCGTTCCTTTGTGCCTTTAATCGCAGGAGACTTTGGAGCAGAAAAGAGCCAAGATTTCGTTGATCTCTTTAGCTCTTTGTGAGAAGCATGGTGTCCTTATGGGGTTAAAAAAAAGAGTTCATCCCAACTCTCCTCAGCTCTAAATGTTGTGGCATGTCCCTCCTTGCAGAAAGCCAATGCAATGGGATTGGTCATTCAGAGGTAAACATGGACTTCATTTGCAAGTCTGCCTGATCACGTGCACGGAGCTTTGAAGGCACTGCGTGCATGGAGGAAAACCTGTCAACAGTAGGAATTTCATACTTGATTACTGATCTGACACTTGTTTGAAGGCACTGCGTGCATGGAGGAAAACCAGTCAACAGTAGGAATTATATACTTGACTGATCCGACGTTCGTGTTAGGTCTATCCAACATGCTACAAGCTAACAAGAGAGTGGATGGCTCAAGACAATGAACCCCGTGCCTCCAAACTTTGAATACCTTCTTCCCGCCTATCTAGTCAACAACCACTCTAGGTGGCTATCCAACATGCTTCAAGCTAATAAGAGAGTGGCTGGCGCAAGACACTGAACTGAGTGCCTCCAAACTTTGAATCCCTTCTTTAAAGTTCAAACCAAAATCCAGAGTGGACTCTCCATCTCAGTTGGCACCATAACCAACCACCTCCCATTGCTTCTCCTGCCACCCCTCCAAACTTTGAATACCTTCTTTAAAGTTCAAACCAAAACCCAGAGTGGATTCTCCACCTCAGTTAGCACCACAACCAACCACCTCCCAAGCTGCTGTCCATGATATTCCACGATCCAGCCTCGACAGCTGGTTGAGTCATTTTGTTTCAGCTTCCCCCTTCCTCCGTCACAGTTCACTTCAACACAAGAACACCCATCGCCTACTCACATTATTGCACACGTTCGCCCTCTCGACTTTGGAGAGGTTACTGGTATCCGTATTGAAAACATTCATTTTCTCCACCAGGCACGTCAAGGCTGTTTCCGTGGCTTCGCCCACCTTTTCGTAGACTTTCTTGGACTGATAGGAGGGACCATTTGGGGGGAGAAAGACAGGCATGTTAACATAGTCGTTACAGTACTAGCCAGCTGGATAGCTCAGTGAGTTAGGTACCTGGCTGTGGAGCCAGAGGTTGGGAGTTCAATCCCCCGCTGGGCCTGTTTTGTGTAGAGCCAGCCTGGGTAGCCTTGGGCAAGCTGCACCGTCCCAGGGATACCCCCCGCCCAGAAGAAGGGAATGAGAAACCACTCCTACTCTCCGCCTGGGAAACCCTTGAAAGGGGCACCTTATGTCAGAACTGACTTGACTGCGCAGAAGCTGGATAGATAGCTCAGTGGTTTAATTATCTGGCTCCAGAACCAGAGGTTGGGCGCCTGGTTTCCAAAAGTGCCTCTTCGGAGAAGAGCCAGCCTGGGTAGCCTTGGGGAAGCTGCCCAGTCCCACAGCGCCCCCAGTGGAAGGGAAGGGTAAACCACTTCTATTTTCTACCTGGAAAAACCCTGAAAAGGGTTGCCAGAAGAGTTGAAATGTGTTGTACTACAACTACGAGCAGGAGAAGGAGGAGAAGTCGTAATAGTTCCTTTCCCGAACCAACCTTAGATCCTTTTAAGGAGAAAGGTGGAGCAAAAATATTTTTAAGGAATAAAATAACTAAAGGCACACAGTGATGACAAAAACTGTTACAGCTACGAAAATCTACGAAATCAGGAGAGGGCAACCCACCTCGTTGTAATCGAGCGAGGAATCGTTGCAGAGGGCGCAGATCGTGGCCAGCTCCACCAAGCCGTCAAACTTGCCGCACTGGACAGGCACGTCGTTCTTCAAACTGCCGTCGGAAGGCGAGGAGGGGTGGAGAGCGGGGAGAGAGGAGACTTTCATTGAACCAGGAATTAAAACAACCGCGGCCACTACTTGCCTTTCCAAGGTTGCGATAATGACGTAATGGGCAACGGGAGGGAATATTGTGCCGATTTTTGCCACTCGATGACCGGTGGCAATTCCACTCTGCTTTCCCCGTCTCCGTGTCAAAAAGCCAAAGAAGCGGAAAGAAGCTCGATATAAAATTGTCTCGGACCTAGCCTTTGGGGGGGGGGGAGCAATATTTGAATGCTTCAATTTTGTATTTTAAACAGCTTGATTTTAAACTGTTTTAATTCTCCTACATTTTGAAATTGTTTTAGTTAGCTCTGTCACAGAGATCCTGTGATAGAGGGCAAGCGATGAATGTTTTCCACAGAATCCTAGAATAACGAAGGGACCCTCAAAGGCCATCCAGTCCAGTCCCCCCTGCTCAAGGCAGGCACCCAAATCGAAGCAGATCTAACACAGGGTGGTCCAATATTCTCTTCAATGCCTCCAGCAACGGAGCGCTCACCGTCTCCCCAAGGTCGTTGCTTCCATTGTCGTACTGCTCTAACAGTTGAGAAGTTTTAAACAAACAAGTCAATGCTTGAGTAAATACCGTGGATTCAATAGTTCTACTTTAGGTGGGTCAAGGGACTGGCTTGACGTCAAGGTTGGGATGTGACTCTCTCTGACTCCCCTTCTTGGTTGAGGAACTGAGGGAGAAAAACACCAAACTAAAAATCGCGGGGTTTTACAGGATGACACAGTGTTATCGAACTGGTACAGTTCTGTAGAGCAGACACACATCTGCTTGGCTGGCTTTCATTGAAGTCTCTGCTTATCTCGATCCTATCTGGCCTTCTGGTTCTTCGATTCAACATCCGCTTTCGTTCCTGCTTTCTGTTTTCGTAATTCGCAGTATGTGAACATAGAAAATCCAGCTGGCGCAGTGGCGCTCCCCTGGGATGAGAAAAGAGGGATTCCCAGAGATTCAGGGAAAAACCCGGAGCTGACCCCTCGGGTTCTGTTTAGATTCCGAGGAGAAATCCTTGAGAGGGAAGAAACATTTGTCAGACATCTTTCAGTAGAGATTTATGCCGTCTGTCCGTTTCCCACAGGGTTGTTTTCTCCCCGTTTAAAAAAGACAGCCTGATTGGGGAAAAAAAATGTACAAAAAACGGCTTAACTGGATGCTGAGGGACCGTTGCCCAGCTTTGGGACCGGTGGTTGGCATGGGATGCGGCTGAACAGGTTACAAGTCCTCATTGTTCCACGATGTGACTTTTTAAACTGAATTAAGTCACATGAAGTACTAGTTCCCTTCTTGTTGGAACTGGTTAGGCCTCCTCTTGAGCACAGTGTCCGGTTTTGGACAACGTGCTTTGAGAACGATGCAGACCAGCTGGAACAGGCTCAAAGGAGGCCAACAAGGATGTTTAGGGAACGGGAAACCGAGCCCTAGGAGAAAAGACTGAAAGAACTGGGCGTGTTTAAGCTTTGAGAAAAGAAGACTTGTGGGGAGACAGGAGAGCACTTTTCAAATACCTGAAAGTTAGTCCTACAGAGCAGTGGGAAGGCTCCGTTCTCAACCATCCCATAGAGCAAGACACATAAGAAGGGGATGAAGGTCCAGGAAGCCAAATTTAGGCTGAATATCAGGGAAAAACTTCCTAACTGTTAGAGCAGTATGACAACGGAACCAATTCACTTGGGAGGAATTGAGCTCTCCGACTCTGGAGGCATTCGAGAGAAGGTTAGACAGCCATCTGCCAGACGGACCAGCTTGGATTCCTGCACTGAGCAGGGGGTTCGACTCAATGGCCTTATAGTCCCTTCCCAAATCTATGGTTCTAGGTTTCTATGAACAGGAAATCAAGAATAGATGGGTTTCTGGTATCCCAGGAAGTAAAATGCAAAAGCAAGCAGGAGGAGGGAAATGTAAGCTAAGGAAATGAATGTGGGAGCAAAGATTTAAATTTTTCCTCCACCCCTGGTCTTAGCACCCCCAATATCACACCAGGCCCTCAGCAGCTGAACCTTCAAGGTCAAGGGAGTCCTATGTAATGTCTAATTTGACCCTCAGTGAGAAATGCTTATGAGGTTGGTTTGGGAGACCCATGGAATGTTCCTGCCCCTATCTGGACCCCTTAGGGTATGGTCTTTGGATATTTAATTCCACAGTGACTCCAGTGATCACCCTATGAAAGCATCTTTAACAAGCTGCTCCTATTCGTTTTCTGAACCGAATTTGGGAGAATTTCGCCACCATCTTGAAATTACCACGAATCAGAACTAGCGCCCGCACAAAATACTCACATTTGCCCCTCTGGCGTGTATGTTGACCCAGTGATGGTGAACTCATGCAAGCTGCAGTGGATCCCCTCAATCTTTTCAACAATGAACATCTGCAATACATCGAGGAGGAGAGAGGTGAGGGATTGAAGAATCAGACAGTGGTAGGCAGCCATTTGCAGCCAGATAGGAAAGACATTCCTGGTAAGACATAAACTGTGGAGTTACTCTGAGCCATTCACAGGATACTCCACGGAACAGCCTTCCATTCGTGACCTTTCTATATTTTCTCACTGCTGCGTTTGCTTCTTCCACCAAGAAAGAAAATGAAAAGTAGGGAGATATTAAGAAGGAATAGAATCACCAACCCAATGCCTTTGGAGTGGTAGGTGATAGGAACTTTTCCTCTGGACCACAACTCATGAAAGTTACTTTTTCAGACTACCAACCCCAGAATCCTTGAGCCTACTTGGGAATATTTATTCCTTCCTTCACTCCTTCACTCAATGAGCGACCTTGCTCTGAAAACCGGGACCTAAAGTGGCTTAATAATAATATAGCTCTGCTGAAGACCTCCAACAACTCATAAATCATTTTAGCAAGGCCTGCCAAGACTTTGGACTAACTATCAGCCTGAAGAAAACACAAGTCATGTGCCAGGGCGTGGACTCACCTCCCTCTATTACTATCTCCATGCAAGAACTGGAGGTTGTTCATGAATTTGTGTACCTTGGCTCAACAATCTCTGACACTCTCTCCCTAGATGTCGAGCTGGATAAACGCATTGGGAAAGCAGCTACCATGTTGTCTAGACTCACAAAGAGAGTATGGCTTAATAAGAAGTTGACGGCATACACCAAAATCCAGGTCTATAGAGCCTGTGTCCTGAGCACACTCCTGTACTGCAGCGAGTCCTGGACCCTTTGTGCACGGCAGGAGAGGAAGTTGAGCACCTTCCATATGCGTTGTCTCCGACGCATTTTTGGTATCACCTGGCAGGACAAAGTTCCAAATAGAGTAGTCCTAGAACGAGCTGGAATTTTCAGCATGTATACAATATTGAAACAGCGCCATCTACGTTGGCTTGGGCACGTTGTGAGAATGGCTGATGGTCGGATTCCAAAAGATCTCCTGTATGGAGAATTAGTGCAGGGAAGCCGCCCCCGAGGGAGACCACAGCTGCGTTACAAGGACATCTGCAAGCGGGATCTGAAGGCCTTAGGAATGGACCTCAACAGATGGGGAACAGGATTTCAGCCTTCCAAATATCGTGGCCGGAGTCTTATTGTTGAGTTGCACCAGAATCGGTCCAATGCTCAGTATTGTAGTGGTGAATTGTTACTAGTACAGATTGGGCATAAAACAAAACAAAAACAAAACAAAAAACCCCAAAACTCATGAATTGGGCCATTTCATGGTTTGTTTTGGAGTGCTTTGGGTTAACGCTCCTGCCGAGAATGAAATGCCAAACGGTTACCGGAACTGACAATTCACACCGTTTGTGGTTCAAGTACTTCCCTGGAGGGATGTGCTTTGGGGGGGGGCTATAACATAGGAGCCCCACATCCAATCTTCACCAAATTTGTAGGGCACGGGGAAGAGAGTTAGCTGAAGACTTGCTCTGAATTTAGCAACTTTTAACTTCCACGGAGGCTGTTCTTCTGTTTCTGGAAGTTCCGAATCACACAAAACAGTTCAATTTTTTCGGACCCTTTGTGTATGTTTGTGGTTTGTGAATAGCCACAAGCCACAACAATCACAAACCCCCGGTTTCCCAGTTTGTATCGATCTCTAATTCATAACTTGCCGTTTGCACCTCCTTCTTGCACACAAATTCACACGACCAGTGTGCAACCTGGCGTACAAAGGACAACTTGTGAACCCAGCTGCCATTTGCCCCTTTTATTCAAGCCAATACATCGGTGCAACTAAAGCAACAGGATTCTGCCCACAAAATAAACCCATTGCAGTATTACAACAATTTAAACTAGGATACTAAAAAAAATTCTCAGTAGCATCTGTCCAAAGGAACTCCTCCAGATCTTAGCATGAATATACCCAAAGATGCTAATCAAGATCTAATCAACAGAAGCCAAGGGGTGGAGATGGTAGCAGGGCAACCCACCCACCCGTCTTCTGTGTCTGAGACAGGATTTTACCTCGCTGGTCTTAATCCTGCAATCTAATGGCCCTACCACACACACACCCCGATTTTCTGGAATCCAGGCTCCGATCTCATTAGTTTCGCTCTAGGAAACATTTCTGTCAAAGCTCAAATCTGAGAAGGCAGGAAGACATTCAGCCAGAGATGGCTTCACAAGCCAAGGATCTGAACTAATTAATGCCAGCTTCGGCTCGGTGTCACGATGCGTGGACCCGGCCCTTCCGTCTGAGGAACCTCTGGGAGTTTCAGAACGCCAACCCTCCCCGTGGAGGTGGTGGGAAGTGGGATGGGTAGAGACTCAAAATGATGTCAAAATCGCTCCGCTTCCTTGGCACGGAGAGTCATCCTTTTTTCACGCGTGCCAATCAGCTTTTAACATCAATTGCTAAGAGGGGCACACGAGATTTTTATTTAAAACTGCAAGACAACAGCAGGCAAATCCAACTCCACCTTTTTTAAAGTAAAGAATACTACGGACACTCCTTAACAAAAGGAAACCGGGATGGGTGCTGGATGGCCATTATAGATAAATAAACTTGCTAGTTCTCATCTCATCCTTTTAAGCCTTTTTTCAACTCAATGAGAGGTGTCGGTGAAGATTTCAGGGGGGAAAAGTTTATGGGAGGCAATGATGTAAAGAAATCAAGACCTCTTTAATTTCTGCAAACTGTCTTAAACCTGGCTCTCTTCCTCTTCACTGGATTCTCATTACCACCCTCTGAGGCATCATAGAACCACAGGATAATGGAGGCGGAAGGGGCCTGTAAGGCCATCTAGTCCAACCCCCTGCTCATTGCAGGAATCCATGTCAAAGCAGATCTGATGGATGGTTGTCTCATTTTCTCTTGAAGGCCTCCAGCATTGGAGCACTCACCACCTCCCAAAGTCATGGGTTCCATTGTCGTACTGCTCTTAACACCTAAGAAGTTTTAAGGAATATTGACTTGTGTTATTAGCCTACAATGAGTTTGTGTTTACCTTTGAACTACCTTGGAATAAAACAGGAGGCATTGGTGAGGAAAACCTGTTGTGACAAACAGACCTTTTTTGCTACTTAGGAGAGCACCTCTGCAGAAAACAAAAGTATCATCTAGTTCAGAGATGTTAGCCGCCTAGAGTGGTCCTGAGTTGGCTAGATAGGCGGGATAAAATAAAATAAAATAAAATAAA